ATTCACTGTAGATTTTTGTTTTATTTCCATCTCCTCCTTAAGGTTTGTACTAACATTTCATCTTTTCCATGAGGTCTGCCCTGACTCCTGTTTAACACTGCCTCCTGGCCTGCTTCCCTAGCCCTACCATCTTTTTTATTCTTCTCAGCCTTTTCCTCTGTCCATTCACTTACCACCTTCTAACACGCGGTACAGTTGTCGTTTACTGTGAAATCATACAAGCCCCTTGAGGGCAGGGATGTCCTGGAAGTAAGGTACCCGAGATGCATGGTACCGAGAATGTTCTCGGTATTTACCTTTGGACTGAATGTGTGGATGCCGCCGTTGTAGACATGAAAAGCTTCAGGCTGTTTCCAACCCCGAGTATGTCGAGTGACATGGAACCTCCGAACCTTGGGGGTTGTGAATCGGAAAGCTTTTGTCTAGAAGCTCACCCGCTACTACTTGTCTCAGGCAGTGAGGCTGAGACGTGGCTCTTGAAGTAGAGCGAGGTCACTCTTGCTTATAAATCTGTTTTCCTAGGGGGAATTTCGCTTGCTAATTGAAGGCAGCTCTATAATTTAACTTGGGAGTCATTTCTCATTTGAGTCGTTTCTTGTTTGCCATCTGGCCATGTAATTACTTTTAAGTAAAACTATGTACAGGATGAAAGAGCACAAATTGGAAATCCGATAATGTGGATGGTGAGATGATAATATGTGTGTGGTTTTTGTTTGTTTGTTTGTTTGCTTGCTTGCTTTGCTTTTGCTGTTGTTCAAAAAATAAGATTAAGGGGGGGGCATTTGAGGAGGAATCATTCCAGAGCTTTCCTTAGAGGGAGCCCCTTATATAAATTTTCTTCTTTGACTAAGAGCTTTTGTTATAAACGAAATGTTTTGAATTAGTGGATTATTACATTTTTCCATTCATTTATAAGTCTGGCCCTAAACTGTGAAACCAGAGGTTGTCTAACATGTCTCCAAAGCTGTTCTGCTGCGAAGTGGAACCGGGCAGAGGTGTGAGCATCATTCTTTCCTTTCATCCGTTTTCTTAGTATTCTCCAGTCTGTATTCTTTTCCTTTTTGTTCCAGTCCCTTCACCCCGGAAGTTACTTTCTTAGTGCCAGCCTGAGTATTATTATTTCTGAAGCTTCCCTTTCACTTTGCTCCCCCAGTTCTTGGAGGTTAATTGCAAATGGACAAAAGAACCAGAACCCAGTACCGTATATTCAAGTTCAAGAGAAACCTAAATAATGTTTGTTTGGAATTACTGTTCTCCCTCTTGGGTAGGGGCGGGGGAGGGGAGGAGGCTGGAGTGTGGAATTTTTAAACCAGGTGCTTAGATGATAATTAAATTTAAAATACAGATTTAAATCATTAGGGTACAATTGTAATGCTGATGTTCAGTCACTGGCAAAAACCAAACCAATCCAAAACAAACAAACAAATAAAAAACTGGGTGAGAAGACCAGAGGTACTAATTTGCATGAAAATGCAACCAAGTCATCACTTAGAGCTCTGTGGAAATTCTGTTGTAAAAGTTTTACTGCTTGTAAACGTTCCTTTGGCGTGGGAGGCAGAACGTGGGGGCGTGGTCAGGGAAACAATGGTTTGGCTCTGTCCCCCCCAACCCCCAAATCAGTTCGAATGCCTGAATTAACTGGAGAGTCAAAGAATCAGAACACACTTGCTGTAAGACTTTTGGGCTCCAGTAAACAGATCTGGATGTTCCTAGTAGCCTAGTGAAAATGGGGAATACATTTGCTTCACCTTGACTTGCATGGAGAAAGATCTGCACTATTTTCACGGATTCCACAGAGAAGAAACTTTGAATCAGTTGAAGAGAAAGTGAATAAATGAGCACCGAGGCAGAAAGACTGATGTGGCTATCATGCAAATAAGAACTCTGATTGGCTTTCTCTTTCTTTCTGTACACTTTGTCACTGCAGCTCTCAGCCCTTAAAGATTAGGTTTCAGTGGGAGCTTTTCAGGTTCAAGGACTGTTAATGGCTTGTAACTGCCTGACAATAAACTGAGCCTCAACATTACATCAGCCCCCAGCAGATGTCTAAGGATTTGAGACTGGAGGGAAAAAGTTAGAATCTGGAGCAGAAGGATACAGCTTACTACCTGCCTGATGGGCTGAGCTTTTAATGTGATTTAAATTTCTAAGCCCTATGTACACATCCTGGAAATGGTGGCCTTCATTAATGCAAAGATCAAGTCTTTCATTAAACTTTTTAAGAAAAAAAGTAAGTAATTTCTCCTCCCCACCCCCCGTGTGTGTGTGTATGTGTGTGTGTGTGTGTGTGTTGTACTATTTCATCTTCTTGAGTGATGGAATTGGAATGTGAAAACATTAATTAGCACAAGTTAAACTCCATTCTCTACTAAGTTGTTCAAATACCTCTGACTTTTATAACTCTAAGGCAGAATTATGTGATTTTAGCATGTCTTATTTATTTATGGTTGGAATTTTAGGTGAATTCACTTCTGTGCTTCTCAAAAGAAGCCCTTTGAAAAAAAATGGGGGTGGGGGAAGCCTTGTATTTACCTTATCTCTGCCTTGATATATGTTTTTTTAATTCTTCAGCTTACCGTGCAGGGAGGCTGTGTGATCTATCCTGTATTTTTGATGGGGATGATCCTCTAAAACTCCCCGGAATTCTCTGTTACGTATTTCAGAGCTCTGGGACAAACTGTCTAGACTGATCAGTCACTGTACAGTACACAGCGTTTGTAGCATGGCTTCATTGTGTACTGACCCTTGGTTTACATGTCTTTGAGCCAGGTGCTTCTCCTTTCTCCGCAGAGTGTAAATATTACAGATACATGGTTTTGTTTTTACATAGCTGTTGGCTTAGTTTAGTTGAGCTTTTGGGCCAGTGATTTAAACTAGATTAATGTGGTTGGGTATGAGCATTGGTAAGAGAGACCTTGGAGGAAGCAACAAAGAAAAGCGCTCTAGGCTCATTTTCTGCTGCTCCCTCGGTGGAAGGCTGTCTTTGGATGGACTGATTAAAATCTGCCCTGGCATGAGTGAGATGCTCCGAGAAGAGACAACTGTGCTTTCATGGGAGCCAGTTGGTAGCTGTACAGTGGGGCCAGTGGCAGGACTGCACAGACGCAATTATCATTTCTTGGATTTGATTTGAAATTGGCAAATAGGAAGTTTCACTTTTAAATAGTTTTCAACTATGAAGTGTGGTAGTTCAGTCTTCCAAATAAATGCACACCAGCAGGAAACATTGCAATTAACTGTGGCTGCCGTTTGGAGGACATAGGGTGAGTTCCGTCTTACGTGAGATTATCAGGCACGTAAATAAGGGCCACATCCGGTCTTTGTGGATTTTATGTATTAAGATTGGTAATTACATGCAGCACGCAGAACAGTTTTTCAACAAGAGGTTACGTGAACTACCAGGTTCCTAATTTACATGCTTTTGTCAAACGTTAAAAGCGGAAAGCACACAGACGTTTCTGTTTTTAGTTTGATGTCTAGTTTGCGATGTTTATTTTCCCATTTAGCAATTTATGGGGAAGGTGGGATGATTTGAGAAATGAGGCTTACAGAATTTAGTAGCTGTAGAAAAGATGGGTTGATAGGTTAATGGGTTATGGGGGAGTGCTAACCTGTGACTCAGGTTCCCAGGAGTGCAAAGAAAGGCCAAGTTCCCCTTTAGCGGTACAGGTCTAAAGTCAGGGTCTCTGTTACCGTAGATGAATTTCACTCCTGCCACAATCATGCTTTACATATATTAATTCATTTGGTCTTTGTAACAGCTCTAATGCTGTGCTGTTGGGTACTGTAAGTGAATTTGAAATACATTAGAACAGAAAGTTTCAATAGTTGATGCATGCTTATTCATTTTATTGTGAGAATCTGTTTATGGTCTCGTTTCCAGGGACATACTGTGTTGTAAGAATGTGTATGCTCAGTGTGCGCTCTGTAGCCTACTTCAGAGTCAGGAAAGACTTGCCCCTGGCTCACAATTCTAGGATCTGCTGGTTTTATTTGTCACCCCCAGGAAATGCTTCAGCACAGGATTTTCCTCTAAAATTGCCTAGTCTCCCCTACATCTGACTTACAGCAGCAGATATGTAGAAAGGGTTAAAAACTGTTGATGCGTGTATTTGGTGCTGTAGCTTCATGGTGGGCTCCGCTGGTATCCCCTACTCTGTCTGTGTTTCAGGAACAGAAACAAAGTAGACGCGGAGATCCCAAGCCCTAGGGGGATCAAGGAAAATTATTTAGAAGATTTAGGATACTCTCATGATTACCTGTTGTTTCCCCTCTGATGTACTCTTTTGTACTGGGAAAACTCAATTGAACTGGGTTATGGTGGGAAGGGTCAATTGCATTGGAATTTAAAAAAAATTTTTTTTAATATAACAACATTCTTTGGGAAAAAAGTATTCCGTGAAAGCAGGAAACAGAGAAAGTTTGTAGCACAAATTGATTTCTACTTCTATTAGACATGCTATTTAAATATATTTCACTGAATGTTTATGCTTAATTTTTTTAAAAAGTTGAGTTTATTACAATGATGTTTTAAAGTAATGCTTTAGAGAGGAAACATTTGGTCTGTGCCTCTTGGTAGGAAATTTGTTTCTGTCTTGGCAATCTAACATTTACTGTTACAAAGGCAGTGTACAGTTGGATAATAAATATTGTGGCAGAGTTAAGTAGGAATTGGAGGTCTCTATCAGTTTTCTTAATTGTTTTCTGACTTTGGAGTCAGGGGAGGGCCTGAAATGCTGGGAAGCAAGTAACTGAAGAAATAATTCTATCAAAACGTGGTGGGGGATGATGGGCAGTTTCAGCTTTTCCTTCAAGAGACAGAACACTGTGAAGAACCTCTAGAGCCTAGTTAAACCTTACGCAGAATTTGCCCCATTTCCCCTTTTTTGGCCCTTACCCCATGGATGTGTTAGGCACCAAGAACCCATCTTGATGGAAAATATTTGGAGCCACTGACGCTTACTTGGGCACCAGAATTCATGCTGCCTTTCTTTCTACAGCGGTTTCCAACCTCGATGAGGAGAGTCGATGGACAGTCCACTACACTGCTCCATGGCACCAGCAGGAAAATGTGTTCCTTCCCACCACAAGACCACCCTGTGTAGAGGACCTGCACCGCCAAGCCAAGCTCAACCTCAAATCAGTATTGAGGGGTAAGATTGCCTCCCGCCAGCTTGCTGTTCTTGGAGTACTGGCAATTAGAATTGAAAGCACAAATGTGATCGCTCTTTGTAAAAGAAGATCTATTTATAATGAACACATGGTATGCTGGTTTTTTAAGACGAGATCATAAATACTTCCAGCCTAATACATGCTTAATAGGTTCTGGTCTCTGTAGAAACCTGCCAGTTTACAGACATGCAAATCTATCCTCACCGAGCCCACCCCTGCTTGGAAACTCTCTTTAGCCTGTTCAAACCACCAGTACTAATGTAATCCAAATAAACCCCTGCTGACATGCAGAATTTTGCGCCTGTCTTTTTTTAAACCATTGTAGGTATTCAAGGCAAATTTGTTAAAGCTAATACTTTCTAATGGTTTGTTCTGTTTAGTTCAGGTTGGGTGGAAAGGGGACCTATATATAGATTTTGAGTTCAAAGTGGTTTGTTTATCAGGACTTGGGCAGCACCCAGCTGCTCTCCTCTTAAGCATTGGTTCTGTCAACAGATGGGCAGAGTGCCCTGCGGGCAGTAGGAAATATATAGGAATAGTCTCCTCCTATATCTAGTTTAAAAGCTTCATTTTTCTTCAAATTACTATGGATGTTAAGAAGTGTAACTGTGTGGGAAGGAGGGCTTCTCTTAAAAGTGGTAAAGAAGTTGTTCTTTAAAAGAGGAAGGAATGTCTGTTAAGATTCAGAGACTTTTTCCTTAAAAAAGCAAACTAAGGTTCTTGTTCTACCATATGCTGCTGCCTCTACCAGTTTTCTCCTCCCAGGCAATATTTGGGACATTGTTTATTTAAAAAATGCTTGTTGTCGGGGCACCTGGCTGGCTCAGTCGGACGATCACGTGACTCTTAATCTCAGGGTCTCGAGTTTGAGCCCCACATTGGGTGTGGACATCACTTAAAAAAAAAAAAAAGCTTAAAAACTATTTGTTGTTTTGTTGTTTATCTGAAATTGAAATTTAACTGGGTGTTCTGCATCTTACCTAATTGTGAAAAACTTAAATCTAGAAGAAGTCTTTTTTTTTAAGTTTTTATTTATTTACATGATAGAGATCACAAGTAGGCAGAGAGGCAGGCAGAGAGTGGGGAGCAGGCTCCCTGCTGAGCAAGTGCCCAATGTGGGGCTCGGTCCCAGAACCCTGAGATCATCACCTGAGCTGAAGGCAGAGGTTTAACCCACTGAGCCATCCAGGTACCCCAGAAATCTGTTATTGATTCAAGGAAAACCCAGCATGAGGACCTCAACTGATACTTATTAAATACTTGTCTACATGCCAGATTCAGTTCTAAACCCATTACTCTTATTATATCATTTAATCCCCAGAATAATGCTGTTTATTATTATGCAGATTTTACAGGTGGTAAAACAGAGACACACAGATCTGAAACTTGCTAAGATCTCTAAGTTAGTTAATGGCAGAACCAGGTTTTAAACTTGGACAGTCCTAGGCTACAGAACCCATATTCTTAACTGCTGCATTATATTGCCTTTAACATTCATTTGTTGGAACTCTTTCCATTCTGGTAGAAGTGCAGGCTATAAAGCCAGGGGCTTGGGTCTCAAGGAATTTGTACGTACTTCTATAGTACAAATCAAGTACACATTCTCAAGAAATGTGCCCAAAATTGTTCTATTAGGAGTTAGAAAAAGCAGAAAATTTCTGCTTCGAGAAAGAAGGAATAGCTATTACTAGACTCACAATAGATAGGGTATTCTGAACAGAACTCTTTATAAACATTTTAGATGATAGCCTTATTTTTCTTCCTTGATGCTTTTCTAATGCTTAGAAAAGCAGTATGTATCTTCTAATATCTTATGTATCTTACAATATCGTACAGTATCTCATATCCTGTGGTCTTGGCTTTGGACTGTCCAGAGCTGAGATTATTGGGTCCCCCTTTTATGTAGCCTGCCTAACCTGTGTATTTAGTGACTGAAAGCTTAAATGGAAAGAATTCCATTAGTTGGCCCCTTCTGTATGGCCTTGGCATTGTACTTCAACCTTTGTTGCCTTCATGCTATACCTAAATCCAGCCAAAATTTCTTCTATATCCCTTCCCTATGATTTATCTTCAGTACATTTCGACCAAGAGCGTCTCTCCTTATAGTTCACCTTCTCCCCCAAAATAATTAATAAGAATATTAAATGGCACAGTTCCCAGGACAAACCCCACAGGCAGTGCCATTGTTAACATTTCTCTCTGAGCTAGGAACAACAGAGCTCTGCATGGCTGGCTTGTAGAGAACGCTTACAGGAAGGTATGTGTGAGTTTGAGGATTCAGGACTGGCTGTTCTTTGATTGCTCTCCAGGAAGTTGTGCTTCACGGCCTCTTTCATGTATTTGCAAGTATCAGATCAGAGTTTCTCTTTTCTTCCCTGAGAAAATTGACCATCTGTATATAGATTTTTCTGGTTTTATTTTCCTTTTGATTATTCAGTAGCTTCATGTGAAACATCATCACCACTGGTTTTGCCTACACTTGAAGGTCAATGCTTTAGTAGCTGCTCTCATGTCCTAAAACACCTCATCGAAGGGATTTGCTATTAATAAAGTTAATAACTTTGGAAAATTCTTGGAGCTCAACTTTTAAAGTCTGGATTTAAATACTCCTGAAGAGATTTTTAGATAAATAATAACTTTTTAAAGCAGTGATTGAGGAAGACGAAATGTGGAAGAGCACCTGAGTGGTTTCCTCTTCATTTATTTACTTTTAATCACATGCACAGAAACTTTACATCCCAAACTTCCCCTCCTACACCATGTTCACAACCTGAGTTAATAAACACAAGTGCGGAGCATTTATGGCCTCAATATCAGTGAAGATTAAAAAGAAGAAATCTGGTCCCTGAATATATGGCACTATGAAGACATGAGATTATATAAAGCTATCAGTTTAAGTTAATTTGCCCTCAATGTTCTTCACTTAAAGATATAGAAAGGTAGCTAATTATTCACTATGAGTGATCTGTTTTGTTCCTTCTCTTCTTACTGTGACCTTATCCATAATTTTCAGGAATGAAAGCTGTTCATTAATGTTGTAGGTTGGTGCTTTTTTGTAATCATCAAATGCCATCATATTAAGTTCTGCCAGGTTTAGGGGAGCTCAGCTATCCTCTGGAGGATCATAAAATGTGGAGGGAAGTGATGCAATGAGTACTAGTTAAATTAATAACTAAGTGTTGTAAATATTCGCTTATTAAAGTAATGCAGAAATGCTTAAGTTGGTAGAGTGAGGAAGGCATGGGTTTACTTAAAAATGTTTTTATGAAAAAACTGTTTGAGTTGGCACATAAAGACAGATAATAGACTCAGTTTAATAAGCATTTGAGCGTCAATTCTGTACTATGCCAGGAGTTTTTTGTTGTGTGTTTGCTTGCGTTTGTTTTCTTTGGGGGGTGGGAGGGGCTATGCCCAGAGTTTTTAAATGAACTAGGAAAAGTTCATGGGTCCTTTAAAGAGCTGAACTTGCTACTTTGTGTCAAGATTGAAGTAAATAGACAGTGATGTAGTGGAGATGTGTATGATGTGCAGTGTGCAGGCAGAGAGCTCAGTCTGCTGGAAAAGAAAAGCATTGGGAGAACCCCCCACCACCACCACCACACCACCACCACCACCACCACCACCACACCACCACCACCACCACCACCACCACCACCACCACCACCACCTGCCCACTCTCTGATCCCGCCACCGAGGAGGAGATGGGCATCGTGTGGCATATGGAATACCCGGAGCAGGTGTCTTCTGTGTGCAAATGTACCCTGTGCTGGTCCAAATAGGTCCAAATTAGCTCAGGTTCGTATCTGTTGTTGGCTAGTCTCTGGAGAATTTGGTAGAATTTGGTGACCATGCTCTTAGACCAAATGATTTGATTTTGGTGATTTGTTATGAGAGATGTAGGTAATGATTTACTGCTAATGACCTTACAAACATGGACCTAGATTTAAAAATATTACTTTGATATTTGGCTCAACAGGACATCTGGCTGGCAGCGAGTAGTTAATTTCTGAAGATGGATCCCATTGTCTAATAAGAATTCATTTATTGGGGCGCCTGGGTGGCTCAGTGGGTTAAAGACTCTGCTTTTGGCTCAGGTCATGGTCTCAGGGCCCTGGGATCGAGCTCCACATTAGGTTCTCTGCTCAGCATTCTGCCTGCCTCTCTGCCTGCTTATGATCTCTCTGTCCAATAAATAAATAAAATCTTAAAAAAAATTTTTTTTAAAGAATTCACTTATCTTTTAACTGTATTTCCAGAAGAATCCTACCCTTTTAATCTCCATGGTTGTGTGAACCATTCATGAACTTCATCTGAATTAGATGGGATGATAGGTAACCTTTACCTAAATATCTATGTGGATAATTTTTAGCATTAGTCAAAGGGCCACATTAAATGGGAAAAGGGGGGTTGAGGGATGGGGGTGGTTAGGTTAGGCTGAATGAAGTGTTCAGATTTTATTTCTTTTAGAGCTTTAGGACCGCATTCAATAGTTAGGAGCATGTCAAAGGCTGAAATAAAGACATGTTATTTTCAAGGCTCCATCCCCCAAAAGCCCAACCTGGGAGAGAGAGAGAAACACAGTTTCTCACAGTATGTTTAACAGACAGTTTAGTTACTGTGTCCACGTCCACTCCTGCCAGAATTAGTTCACAGAGCATCTGTTGTTGTATCGAAAATGTTCCCTAGTCACTGCTATCCTTCCTGAAGAAATACATTTTAACAGGTCAGCGCAGTCTGTGGTCTAGAATTAGAAGTGTGAGCACAGGGAGGAATGGCGGATCTGGCCTGTGTTAATTCAGTCAGTGGGTTATATTTATTATAGGAATTGAGGATTTACAGAGTGAAGAAATGACGGTTTGTACCAACCGGTTAAAAACAGTAGTTGTGGGACGCCTGGGTGGCTCAGTTGGTTAAGCAGCTGCCTTCGGCTCAGATCATGATCCCAGCGTCCTGGGATCGAGTCCCGCATCGGGCTCCTTGC